CAGCTCCCCCAAATAATTAATTGTCTTCCTTACAATTTTTTTACAGGGTTTCAAGATGGCTGTTATTTTAGCATTAGTTTCAGCTATTATTATGTCATTTCAAATACCAAAAATAATTGTAAATAGTTTTACTTAATAGGGTGTCCGCGGGGTCTTGAAAAGGGTCGTAAAACTTTTTAAGGGGTCTAAAAATGTATTAAAAGTTGATAAATCAATTATGAGAAAATTAAGGCCATTAAAAGTCTTAATAGCGTTTTTACGAGGTCTTAAATTTTCTTCAAGCGCTGTCCAAATAGTTTGACTCCAAAAAAAAAAACATGCTCAATCCATGTGATTGGTTCAGGTCGGGCCGTGTCCAGGCAAGCTCCTCCGTCTGGGTGATGTCACGTAATTTGCGACAAACATGGCAGAAAGAGCGAAACAGACGGCTAAATGGGAAAATGCAAGTTAAAGGTGTGATACTGATTAGTAATTGAAGTGGCGATGAGGTCTTAAAATATTCTGAGAAGGTTTTGAAAAGGTATTGAAATTATCTTTAGGATCGCAAGAAAGTTGTTGGTTCAAGCCTTGGCTGGGTCAGTTAGCATTAAAGGGGTGGTCCACTACGATATCATATATATAACTAGTTGATGTGTAATGTAGCTGTGTGAACATAAACAGCATCTCTGAATGTAACTTTCTCAAAGTTCAATGCAAAGGGAGACCTTGGTTTTTACAGAATTAGCTTAGCAAAGCCTACAGTGAACGAATTTTGGGAACTAAAAAAAAACTTCCAGGCCAGTGAGATCACAAACGTACTTTTACCTCGCACACATACTGCGCAGCTAAGGGGCGTGGCCAGAGGCGCTGTAATGTTATGTTACAGCAGAGGGAGCTAAAATGCGTCCAAACGCTGCTTGTTTCCACAGAGCTACTTCTGTTTCTGTATTTGGGCTTCCAAATGACACAACACAAAGACAGAAGTGCTTACAGTTCAATATTAATTATGTTCCAGAAAACTATAAAATACATAGCAAGCATTATTTGACAAAACAACTTCCAGAATCTCTCCTAGTTCAGTGCTGGATTCGGTTAAAAACATCTTAAAGAAGGAGCAGCTCCTACAAGCAGAAGCAAGTGTTTTTATTTGTTAAAATTGATCATGTACAGTGTGTAGCCTTAACGGTATGCTGTAGCAAATATTTAGACAATGGGAAATGCTCTTTGGCACCGCTAATGATTTAGCTACAAATTCATATTTATCAGTCAGACTTCTGTAAACACACACACTCTTCACCAGCACGTGCATCGTCTCTCTATGCATGTTATGCTATGATTCATATTACATACATATGCATATTCTGAATATATGTGAAAGACGTCGTGTAACGCCTTGAGTTAGCAGAGTAGCTGTATATAATCTAAGTAAGATTTATGAAAAAAATAACATGATTTCCTTTAAGTGAAACATGAGCACACATTGCTTTGCATCTTTTAAACACAACCAAGCCTTAAAATTACATTCTGGACCACCCCTTCATTAAAGGTGATGAAAGATAAGCTGAAAATGAATGAATGAATGATTTAATTAATTAATATTATTGACTTAAGAATAACACTTTCTCTTTTGGAACATGACAGCTCTTCGATCACTTTTACTAATGACTAACTCACTAACTACTTACTTACTCACACTGAAAAAATGTGTTTCTCTAGTTCTTGTCAAGATTCTTGTCCAAATATCTAAAAATTCTTGAATCAAAAAGCCTTTTGTATATGAGTCGAAATATTGTTTAGTTTTCAGAAATATTGTCAAAATTAAGTAGGTTTTTCCTTAAAACCAGCAAAATAATCCACCAACGGTGTGAGCAAATTTAATTTTATTTCAAAGTGAAAGCAAAGTTATTTTGATTACCCCATTGGCAGATTAACAACACAGGCTCATTGTGAAAATGTACCCCCGTATACGTTTCTGGGGAGCGCGAATTATGTAGCCAGAGCTACATATGGCTGCATTTCATTTGCCCAGTAGCTCGCCATGTTGTTCGGCGGAGTTTGGCGAAGAACAGTTCCAGAAACATGTAAAGCAAAAGCCCAAAAATAAAATAAACAAGTAAATATCAGTGTGAGAAGGGTAAAATGTGGTAAAAATCAGTTTGAGCTTCTCTTTTTTTGGATTGCTTTTGAAAACACTGTTGGATGGGTTTAGGGAAGTGAGTGGGCGGGTCAATCAGTGCTTTTAATAACACTATCGGTTGGATTTAGGAATGGAGGTGGATGAGGGAATTGGTCTGTTGGTCAGTCAGTCAGTCGACAGCAGCCTCTGGTGGATTTGCACAAGAATAGCAGGCGTGAATGGTACTCACAAAAGAGTTCTGAGATCGAAAAAAAGTGCACGCAGCGGCCTCTAGTGGATTCACAAAAACAAAAACTGCAAAAACAAAACGTAGCTCCTGGGACGTATTTGGTGCTCTCCAGAAATGTATGTAGGGGTACATATCAATATTGAGCCTGGGTTTGTTTTAAAGAAAAACAAGACAAGACTTTTGACTAAAATGCTTTCTGATTTAGGAATTTTATTTAAGCTAGAAAAAAGTACAGAAATATACTTTTATTGCAGTGTAATATCATGAGTTTAAAGAAATCAAATGGTATTTTCATTTTAGCATTAAAGTAGTCTCTTAATTGTCTAGAACATGCTACGTTTGAAAAGGCAGCATGATTTTTCAAGAGAGATTAATAGTGCAGCAGTGGGTGGGATTTGTGGCGTCAACTGAATTACAGCACAGCGGTTCATTGAATTGACTAGTGCTCCACCGGAGGGAAATTGCACTCACCGGTAAAATCACATCACAAATCTATCCTCAATGGGCCCAATTAACACCCTCAGCATCACTAATGGCTGCCAGAGAGGCTTTGAGTCTCCAGGCTGTTCCTGATGCTCCTCCCCGTCTGTGGGTGAAAGGAGGAGCTCCTTTCAGAAGAGTTAAAGAGCTTCTCAGCACCCAGGCTTTGTAAATTAAACCTAATTTCACACTGTCGAGACCACTGTTAGCCTTGCATAACCTAAATTTTGTTCATCACAAATGCTACAAAGCAACCAAAAAGTAGCTGAGCACCAAGTAGACACTTGATGTTTTAAGAAAACATTATTGCTAGGGGTGTAACGATTTATCGTTGTACGATTTATTGCGATGCAAAGATGTCTCAATATGCATCGTGGCGTTATGACGATTTGATTACGATATGACGTCTGTTTTCTCTTATTAGTTGAGCTGTTTGCATGTAAGCTACGTTCCACCTGCTGTCGCACGTGAGTTCAGATTGCAGCAGCAGTAATGTTAGCAGACCAAGATGAGTGGAGTTGAAATAGAGGATGGCCCATCCTCTCAAAATCAGACGTCTGGCAACATTTCGATTGTACAGTCATTGCTTTAGACTCGTCCGCTTTTTGACACGCATACTGGGTCAAACATCTTAAGTTTTAAAGTCTTCACAGTGATTTACATACTTTGCACAGCGACATGGATACCTACTAATGGTGTTGAAAGTGTCACATACTGTATTTATAAGGTACAATCCACCCTAAAATATCATTCTGTCTTCATATAATGATGTATTTGCGGCCGCAAAATCACACATGACGTGAGCTGACCGTGAGCTGTTACTACAGAGGGCGTAATATGATAGACGCGCGCGTATGGCAAGCCGTTTTAGCATTTGAACCTTTGTTCTGACTATCCATAAATATATTTAGAGATATCTCTAACTATATTTTGACTAGTCATAATTGTAATTCGACTAGTCAGAATGACAATTAGAGATATCTGCAATTACAATTGTACTAGTACGAAATCAGATTGGAGATATCTGCAAATATATTATGACTAGTCACATTCCTTCATTAACTTCCATTGAAAAATATTTGCAGATATCTCTAAATGAGATTTGACTAGTCACAATTGTAATTAGAGATATCTCTAAATGAATTTAATTAAATATGAATTAAATACCTGGAAATGTGGATTTTTTTTGCACACACAAAAAACGCATGTGACCAAGCAAAGCCTTAAGCTCTTACTGTTAAATTTTTTTGCACCTTTACTTAAATTGTTCCTTAATTTTGTCTCTGTCATTTCAATTATATTTTTAAGAAGTTTTTTAATTGTTTTATTTTCCAGAGACAGGCCTGTTTAATTTATTTTCTTAAAGAAGGTTCAGTTTAACAAGTTGAAACAAAAGAAATACATAAAAAATAGTTTACTTAGTAAAATTTGCATTTCAGTTAAATTTTCTATTTTTATTCCAAATATCATGATACATATCGAATCGTGAACATTATATCGTGATACACATCGTATCGTGAGCTGAGTGTATCGTTACACCCCTAATTATTGCCTGTTGTTTCGTGATATGCATCAGAAATTCCATGAATAATCTATGAGTGTGCTTTCTGAGGGTCACTGGGTGTCCTGAACAAGAGCATCAGTGCATGTTTCGAACAATTGTCTTTCAGAGTGACATGACAGTCAAAGCAGAATTAAATAGCTTAATAAATAATAGTAAGATTAAAATATATATACATAAATGAATGGTCGAGGTTGTGGAGGAATATAGGTACCTAGAAACAATTATTGAATGCAAATTGAATTTTGACCAAAACACATGCAATTCCATCAACATCAAAGGCTGTTTTTCTTGCGTAAACTCTCCTCTTTTAATGTAGAGAGCAAAGTGCTGTGCAGAAAATATACAGCAAAATAAGCATAATAATATATAAAATAGGCGAAGCAGTGGCAGATAAATGGGCATAATAGGTCTCCTTTAAATATGAAAATACTGGTATGTTTTGAAATAAAATGTTTTGATAGAGTCTTGCCCGTGGATTGTGTTTTTAATTTACATGAATGCATCGTATCACATTGCTGTCTTGGTTTACTCCCACCGGTGGCCCATTCTGTTGTCGTAGATGTCAGTAAGATGACCGATTAGTCTGATAAGCATCTGGTTTTGTGTTGCAGGGCGGAGGTGGTGCTGGGCAACGTCATAAAGAAGAAAGGATGGAGGTATGTTCACCAACAGCATACAGCTTTTCATTTCCTCTTCTTATCTTGTGCTGATAGCTCGGCCCAGTGCCTCAGAGATTGTGTCACCGCAACCCCAGACAGGCACAAATATAAATTATTAAAGCCTGGCTCGCCCTGTTGATGTGCCATCTAGATATTGAATTATGAAAGAGTCGCATATGTGTGTGTTTGTCGTGAAGCCGATGTCCTGATAAATGTGCGTGACAGAAGTTCATGGTTGATAGAAGCACTTTTTAGGATGTATTAAAGGGATATTTCACTCAAAACTTAAAATTATGGCAATATTTACCTACCTTGAGTTTCTTTCTACTGGGGATATTTTGAATAATGCCATTGACTGCCATTGTATGTTTATTTTTCCTACAGTGCTATGGTTTTCATTAGCTGTTTCCAACTACCTTCCTACTTTTAGAATATCATTTTGAAATATCATATAAAAAATACAGTAAAAGGTGCTGTATGTACGTTTTTGACTCATAAAAATACCATTATATGTTTGCAGATGTTTTAGAAACATGCTAAGTGAACATGTTCATCTGAAAAACAATGCTGAAGTCAGATATTCTGCTTTGAAAATGTGCATTATGTGCTTGAATGTCCGTCTTTGTTTTGGTTATTTTAACCCGCTTAATACCAGTTTAGATAATTGTATTTCAGCACCCCGGGTTGCCTTGGTGGAAAACAGTGTATTTCGTTCATTCAGTCAGAAAGGCTCTCAGAGCATGCGTTCATGACTGAAATGTGATCTCCGGTGGACAGTACATAGCAGCCTCCGAAATGAGACGCAGATTCAGAGTTCCACATGAGATGGTTATTAATCAGCAAATAATATAAAAATTAGGAGTCTAAACATTAGCATACCTGTCAACCCTCCTGTTCTTCCTGGGATTCTCCCGTATTTTACAGTTCTATCCCGATATCATCCCGTAAAGGTATTTTCCCGTATTTCTCCCGTATTTTCAGTCTTTCTCTGAAGGGTGGTAAATAAACATTAAAGAGTCAAGCCTCACTATACGCAACCTTGCTCATAAATGTGAGTCTTTTCTTTGCTTTCGCTTTGTTTAGGCATGAAAACACTTTGAAATAAATTTGAAAACGGCGGGATTCCCTTTCCTTTTTATTACCGGTGCCGTCTCTCCTTCATATGCATCCTCAAAACAGTCAAGTAGCAGTGCGTGACTGTCAGCTGACGCACTCCATAGTGATATATAGACGCTGTTTCCAAAATGAATTCTGTACATGCGATTTGAAGCGGAGCGAAAGTCTGGGTTTTGGGTGCGTGTTTAAACAGATGGGCAATGCTGAAGTCAGATATTCTGCTTTGAAAATGTGCATTATGTGCTTGAACGTCCGTCTTTGTTTTGGTTATTTTAACCCGCTTAATACCAGTTTAGATAATTGTATTTCAGCACCCCGGGTTGCCTTGGTGAAAAACAGTGTATTTTATTCATTCAGTCAGAAAGGTTCTCAAAGCATGCGTTCGTGACTGAAATGTGACCTCCGGTGGACAGTACATAGCAGCCTCCGAAATGAGACGCAGATTTAGAGTTCCACATGAGATAGTTATTAATCAGCAAATAATATAAAAATTACGAGTCTAACCATTAGCATACCTGTCAACCCTCCTGTTTTTCCTGGGATTCTCCCGTATTTTACAATTCTATCCCGATATCATCCCGTAAAGGTATTTTCCCGTATTTCTCCCGTATTTTCAGTCTTTCTCTGAAGGGTGGTAAATAAACATTAAAGAGTCAAGCCTCACTATACGCAACCTTTGTCGCCGAACCACCAGGGGCCGCACCTTGCTCTTAAATCTGAGTCTTTTCTTTGCTTTTGCTTTGTTTAGGCACGAAAACACTTTGAAATAAATATAAAAACGGCGGTATTCCCTTTCCTTTTTGCCAGAGGTGCCGTCTCTCCTTCATATGCATCCTCAAAACAGTCAAGTAGCAGCGCGTGACTGTCAGCTGACGCACTCCATAGTGATAAATAGACGCTGCTTCCCAAATTAATTCTGTACACGGTTTTGGGTGCGTGTTTAAACAGACATATCCACATAATAATAATAATAACATCTAAAGATGTCGATCTTGGTGGGGTTTTTTTTCAAACACAACTAATTTTGTCCTAAATGAGCATAACAAGTTAGTAAAGCAATCGAATGCTTTCACTATAACGTTAGATGTTTGCAATTTTAAAGTGAAACCTCTGTTATTTATTGTAATCAAACGAAAAAAAATCCCTTATTATGGTGGGCAAATCCCCTATTTTCACATCCCAATGTTAACAGGTATGCATTAGGTGAGCAGGTTACATTGTAACCCTGTGTCCTAACAACACGCTACTTGACGAGATGCGCAGTGATAAGCAATTTGGCTGTTTGCACCAGACGAAACACGATAGAAATCTTAATTCAACCATTCAGAATATGTGTTGGAAATGTGTTGGCTCGCACTGAGTCACAGTTTTGAAGTTCAATTTTATACGGTTTGTTTTATTTTCAAGGTCTGCTGCTACTTTCAGTAGTATGGCAATAAATGTCATGTAAAATGGCATTCAACCTCACATTATTAGCATTTAACACTGAATAAAGCACAATGGCTGTACCTGAGGTAAACATTGCCAGTGTAACTGAGAGACGCTGGCAAATATTCAGGCTAGGCGAAAAGAGAATCAAGACACTTGCCCCTTTCACACAGTCATACCGGTAAATGTCTGGAAAATTACAGGAACAACTTTACCGGTAAATTAAAAAAAACGCTGTTTACACAGGCAAGAACGTTCCGGATTTTTTCCGGAAAAGACCATTCACACATCCATCCCAAAATACCGCTAATTTCTAAATATCTGTTTCTAAAATAAAAATCCATTGACCAAAAGATACACTGACCAAAAGTCATGCGATTTAGTTTGAACAGGTCATGTGATGATAGAAATGTGTGTAATGGGACGCATTTATGGACTTTGCAGCATTTCCCGCACATTGTAAAATATATGAAATGTTGTTTTGCTCTTTCTTAAATCCCTCAGCCAAAGTCTATCATCACAGTGGTTCAGTATTATTATTATTATTATTATTATTATTATTATTATTATTAATATTTTATTATTCCCTCCAGAACTGTCTTGAGTTTCTGTCTGTGCTCCTAAAAAGTGTCTCACGCCTCCAAAAACCACCACATAACATTCATTGCATTTCGTCTGCTGAGGCACAACTCATTTATTATAGTAGAAAACAGACCCACAGTGGCTTCTCCTACTGCAGCATGTACATTTTTCTGTTTTAATATTTGCTGCCAGTTTGTCAGGAAGTATTGTTTGTTCTCTTTGACTCATTGGATGCAATCGCTGCTTTATTTGCAAATCTTTTATGCAATATTCTAGTTTTGCGGTTGGAAAAGCAAAGCTAGTGGCTACTGGTTTTTAACATTTTTCAAAATATCTTCTTTTGTGTTAGAATAAACTCAAACAGGTTTGAAAAAAGAAGCTCATAATGGTGTGGAACCAACTGGGGGTGAGAAAATTATAAGTTAATTTTAGTTTGGGGTGAACTGTCCCTTTAACTGAAAGCAGGATGGGCTTCCACTGTCTCTGCATAATCACATGAAGAGTAACTGAGCTTTCTACTGTATCGTGTGTGTGTGTGTGTGTGTGTGTGTGTGTGTGTGTGTGTGTGTGTGTGTGTGTGTGTGTGTGTGTGTGTGTGTGTGTGTGTGTGTGTGTGTGTGTGTGTGTGTGTGTGTGTGATCGTGCTGCTTAGTCATCTTGCTAGTCAGTGTGCATCAATATCAGAGCACAGAACCCCTCACCTCATCTTATTTCTGTGCTCTGTGTGTCTGTGTGTGGGTTCACTTGCTAATAGTTTGTGAGCCAAATCTGACAGAAGAGATATTTATTATCTAATGGTACATACAGTGACCTGCAGAAATGAGCACACTCAAACAGATTTCTCTAGATAAATTGATGCTTTTACAGTGATGCTTGCTGCAGGATGCTATGAGAGGTTTGTGCAGATCTAGTTTATTGGTTTTACGTTTGAAGACCAAATGCAAATATGAAAATGCTGGGTTGTTTTAACCCAGCATTAGGTCAAGTATTGACAAACCCAACCATTGTGTTAAAAAGTGTTGTTTAAATTTAATCGAAAAATAAATAATAAATAGGGTGGCGCAATGGGTACCACGATCGCCTCACAGCATGAAGGTTGCTGGTTCGAGCCTCAGCCGGGTCAGTTGAGTTTGCATGTTCTCCCCGTGTTCGCATGGGTTTCCTCCGGGTGCTATGGTTTCCCTCACAAGTCCAAAGACATGTGGTATAGGTGAATTGGGTATGCAAAAAAGTGATATGTTGGTGGTTCATTCCGCTGTGGCGACCACAGATTAATAAAGGGACTAAGCAGAAAAGAAAATGAATGATTAAATAAATAATAAATAAATAAAATTGAATAAACTGTACCCAATGTTGGGTTTGTTTGTTTATATTTGACCCAATGTTGGGTCAAAACAAGCCATCTTTTTTATTTTGAGTGTGGATCTAAAATAAACTTAAGATCATAGTGCAAAAGTGAGAACACCCCAATGAATATGAGGAGAACACATGAATTAAAAATAAACAGGTAAAATTAAAGAGGCTGTAGTATTTAGTTGATTTTCTGAAGGTTATAATTTATTTATTTTTATTTTTTAATTTTTTAATTTTTTTGCATAATCTCATTTAAATACATTTAAATAAATTATTAGGATATGTTAGGTGACAACACTCTCTCTTAGGGCGTACTCACACTATGTTCAGTTGCTTTGAACCGGGCCGAAGCACACTTGTCCCCCCTCCCGTCTCACCCGACAGCCCACACTCACATCACATTTGGGCCTGAGTGCGCTTACGTCATCGATGATGCACTGGTCAGAAGTGATCGCGCTCAGCACAGTGGACATTTCTTTAGTTATGTCGTTTTAGGGGTTTGCGATGCAGTCACGCTGTCAAATATTTCGCCGAACAGATCCGCCACTTTTGATGCTCATAAACAATCGTAAACTCCTCGTGCTGCAGGAATTAGGAGGTTTGCTGAAGGTGCAGCTGTCATGCAGTGAGGAGTTTGCATCTTTATTAATCTACGGTTTGCGTTCATTAAACAGTAAGAATGATTAATTAATCCATATAAAACAGTCCCTTAAAAGTCACATCTCGTCTTCAGTTTCGGGCTCAGGCGTGCTAATCCCAAGTGAACCGTGCTCAGCCACACCTCTTCCAACCGGGCCAGGGCCTGCCAACTGAACCGTACCTGAGCCCAATTCAGACCACTCACACTCTCAAACGATCCACGAAACGGCCTGAGCACAATTCAGATAGCATAGTGTGAGTAGGCCCTTATTCTCACTGGAAGAAGAGACAGTACTGTCTCAATGTGATCTCCTGGCTAAATAAATGAAATAATAATAATAATAATTCATTCATTCATTCATTCCTTTTCCTGTCGGCTTAGTCCCTTTTAGTAATAATAATAAATATAGCTGCAAGCAGCAATTAAGGGGCCAAGCACTTTTGCCCAAAAGGTGGCGCTGCTCCTGAAGTTTTTGAGAACTTTCAGGGCATGGGGTTGAAGATGCATACCATGTTTTGTAATGATATGTGAATGTGTTGGTAAAATATAGCATTTTTGGGCAAAAATCGAAATGGGCGACACCCAAAATGGCTGACCTGTGAAAATCAGACATCATTCGACTCGACATGCTCTGCCGGATTTAATGAGACCAGTTTTATGAGCTTTGGACGAAAGGTTGAGACGTTATAAGCCACAAAAGCAAGTTTTTTGTATCTCCGGACCACTAGGGGGCAGTGCGCCGAAACTCCGCATATAACCTCAGACCCTAGTTGTCATTACACACACCAAGTTTGGTGTGAATCGGTGTATGTGTTACGGAGATATCGCCTCAAGTCCATTTTCGCAAGTTCTTTGTTAAATTTGATCGCAAGTTAAACGAAAACGGTTGGTCAAATTAACTTGAATTCCATAACTTTTGGTTGGCATGGTCTGTAGATCATGTGATTCAATTTTGGTGAACATCGGAGAAGCGGCCTAGGACGAGTTCGATCAAATAGTTTTTTTGAAAAATTTGAAATAGCGCAAAAAAATTAATGACGTCGTAGGTTTGAATCGGACTGAGCCAAGGAATCAGAGGAAAAAATAATTTTGATTGTAGCCCATTCGGTTCAAAAGTTATGATGATAAACATACGTGAAAGTTTGGACAAGTGGTGGCGCTAGAGAGTTTGATTTTAAGACTTCATATCTGGTCTGATTAATGTTAAGACTGTCCTCTATCATTGTGCTAAATTATACAACTTTCCCGCAAGTTTTTTTCCCACCTACGGTGCTTGGCCCTTAATAAAAATAATAATAATAAATAATAATTTGAATGAATATAACTATTTATTAAAACTGTTTTGTAAGAATGCATCACTGTATATTGTCCATAAACACTGATATAAATGCATAAAAATACTTTTTTTAAAGGGTTTTACGCATTTATGCTGAGCACTCAATACACACACATACAGTCACAAACAAATGTTAGTAATATAATAATTATATCTGATTTACATATTTGTGTGTGTGCATGTGCGTGTGTGTGTACATTCATTTGAATTTAAAATGGTTATCGCAAGCCAGTTTCTGTTGTAATTATTTGCAACTTCTTAATTACTTTTTAAAAGTCATAACAGGGGTGACCTCATTTTTAATGAGTTTCCTCTTTTTTCCCTCTTTTCTTTTGCAGACGCTCCAGTTTAGTCATCACAACCAAAATATTTTGGGGTGGAAAGTATGTATATTTAATATCTATTATAAAGTCAATAAATGCATGATGCAAACACTACTTTTAAAGCTTTACTTAAGAATTACTATTAAGTGAAGAATATAGCTGCTTCAGATCTGTTGAATGAACTCCTACGTTTTTAAAATGCATTATATATTTTGTTTCATATTTACATTTACATGTATATTTAGTCATTTAGCAGGTGTTTTTTTTTTGTCTAAAGCGACTTACAAATGAGGAGGTATTCAGCAATTCAACATGAAGAGGCAATACACACAAGAACTGCCAGATTATACTAAGTAACGTGTTTGAGTATTTAGAGTAGGATTATTATTTTCTATGTATGTGCAATATACAATATTTACAATGTTTATATACTGTACAATATTATGGCCCTTGTGTGTACTGTTCAAATGTTCTACTCTTTATAGTTGCTGTATGTTTTGGTTGCAGTTTTTTCCCCATTGACTTCCATTATAATGGCATTTTTTGATTGCAAAGCCGTGACAGCATATAATCAGGCATTCTTAATTGTTGCTGGTTTGCCCTGTTGGGAAGAGGTAAAATGGTCATTTTTGCTGTTGATCATCAGTTGGCGCCATTAGCCCTTTAGATAGGCCTGTGCAAATTAGTTTCTGGTTTTTACATGGAGTCCAGTGGAAAACAGCAGGTTATGGTGTGTTTGTGCAGAAATACACTTACTGTGTTCTGAAAGCTGACTTGCTTATGTAAATTTTCTTTGACATATCAAGTAAGTGATCAAAGGTCTCTCTCTCACACATGCAGTACTACATGTATAAGGCAGAAACAAAGCTTTTTCTTGCACTGCAACTGATGATCAACAGTAAAAATAAAAAACAAATTCTCTTCCCAACAGGGAAAACCAGCAACAATCAAGAATGCATGATTACATGTTGTCATGGCTTTACAATCAAAAAATGTCATTATAATGGAAGTCAATGGGGGCAAAAACAGCCCCAAACATAATGAAAGGGCAGTCAATTTACACAGTTAATTGAGTTTTTGAACATTTTCAAAGTCTCCCCCCCCATTAACCCAACATGAATCAAATGAATTTGATACCATCCTCCATCGCAGTATTTCACAGTAGACATTGTATGATGCCAAATATGATTGCCAACCCTAGTATCAACAGATATTAAACAGGCGGTCTACTAATACTCAAATGGACCATCAAAACAAAGTGTTACCATTGATTCTTTAGTGATATAGTCGAATAAACAAATCGAGTTGGGTTCGGATCTTTTGCTTAATCGCATCAACGTCGATACGGTACATCTCCAAATATCACAGGATCACGGGACTGATCATGACACGAAGATGACGATCACTGACAGATGGAGATTCGGCTGCGGGGAATAAAGGAATAAAGTTCATTTTCTCAACAACACCACAGTTTAGCCAACTGTCTTTTTTTTTTTTGATACAATAATCTATGCTGCAACACGCCATTCGCCAACTGTTTGCTATTGGAAGAGCAGCTGAGACTATTACGTATAGGACTTTGTCAGACTTTGACAGGGACTTTATCAGTAACTTTTACTGTTCAAATGGACCAGTTTCTTCTTCCTCCGGATCATAACATGTAAATGTAATTAAAATTGTTGCCCCGTTTTGTGTAGTTTGCAAAATATTTGTTTAATTGTGTGTTATGAGTTGTAATCACGTATCTATTATAGATCAGTGCTTGTACTGTACCTCTCAGGTTTAATCTGTATGGGGCTGTTCACATATCGCGTCTAAAACCACTTTAAAAACATGACGTGTGCGTCTTCCTTTACTGATTTAAATGCATTTCTGAACTGGCGATCCTCTGCTGTTTGCCTTTGCTATGGCCACCATCAGCTGCTCCTCACACATGCGGCGCAGTCAATTTTCAAAATAGTTCAACTTTTGCCACTGTGTGGATTATTACTGAATGTGTGTCGTTGTTATTACTTGGGGTTAGGTTTAGGAGTAGAGCAATATGCTGGTGTTTAACTGCATTGATTTAATGCATTCCTGCGTTGGGCCCTCACATACTTTCTGCTACTTCATATTGAAACCGTGGTGAGCATTTCTGTCTATCAAATGCTGGATTGCAATTGACTAATCTCAATAGACTGGGTCCTCATCGATCCTATCATCGCAGATTAGCTTCGCGCTAAGGAGGGGTTTGGGGACAAATGAATCGCTGAACGAATCATATGAGAGTCGCTGTGATAATTCAACACAATCTCACGGCAATTCGTAACTTTTTGATTTAGTGGCTAATTCGGATGAATTCGTATGATCTAATTCGTACAATTTAGTATGATTTGCTCATCCTCCAATGACGGTTGGGTTTAGGGGTGGGGTTAGGTGCCACACCTCCTTTTTAAAATCATACAGTTTCGTTTGACTGAACTCGGACGAATTCGTACGAATTAGCGACTAAAATGGCAAAACGTAAAATACTTACGTTTTCTCGTGAGATCAGGCTGGATAATTTGGTAAAAATAAATGCAGATTATAAGACAATGAAAGTGTTTTTTGACCTTGCACGCATATAAACATGTTGTTGGAGACCCCCAAAATCAAAATATGACATTTTTTAATAGGGGCTCTTTAAGACTCAAAATTACCCCAGAATGGATGTAAACACCTTAACAGCACACAAGGGTTAATTGTAATTTAACCCTCCAACACTTTCTAAATACAACGTCAGTCATGATTGCATAACACTGCACACTCTGCTGTTTTCTAGAGCAGAGACGGAGAGAGGATTGTCAAGAAAACACATTATAGAAGGTGAGTGACTCACAAAACACGCACATCTGAGTAATAGCGGATCAAACTGCTTTGAATGTGTGCTGAATGTATTCACGCTGCTCTTCTGTAGGTTTAAAGGCGTCGTTGGAGAGATTGCAGTTAGAATATGTGGACGTAGTGTTTGCAAACAGACCTGACCCCAACACACCCATGGAAGGTACATACATCTACCTCTCTGTTCTAAACCTTTAGTTATTAAGCGGTACAGTGACTCATTCTGTTCTGTTTGGGCTTCAGATGTTATTTTTGTTCACTCTATTATGATCCGGTTCTATTACCAACCTGAAACAGCCATGGAATCTTTATACGGTTTTAAATAGGACTGCACAATATGGGAAAAATCTAACATTGCTATTGTAGTGGCGTTCCATTGCTGCTATTGTTGGTAGAGTACGCAAGTTTTTTTATGCGTAAAAGTCAGAGTCTGTAGGCAAAATAGATGCAAATAAAAACGTCTTTATTTTCCAATTAACAGAATTCTTTCATCAATTTTCCTTCATCTATAATGCACACTTCTCTGTTGCTGTTACGTTACGGTCAAAAACTGTGGCTGCATCCGAAACCGCCTACTACTCAGTAGGTACTGTATTTGAATTTAAACGTACTACTCGGCTGTTGGAAAAGTGCGTTCTATACAGTATGAATGTAAAAAGTATGAATGGAATTTGGACGTACTACATCTGCCACTTTGTCATCACGTGATCTACCTGCGTCAGTTGCGTCACTTCACTCCCATTCATGAATTCTCTTACGGGGCATTATGGAATAGCGCAGCGTGCATGGGATGCGCACTTCTAAAATCTCCCCGGAAGTAGTAAGTCATCCGGGTACTTCTCGCATAATGATTTTCGAATTCTATGAATTCGGACATACTACTCGGCTCACATACTGATTTTAGCATACTATATAGTATGGAAGTATGCGGTTTCAGACGCAGCCTGTATGCTTCCTACACTGTAAAAAATGCAGGGTTCCACACAATTCCTTCATATTGTCCCAACACAAATCGATTAAGTTCACTTAACACTTTAAACAAATTTATGTGGATTGAACATAAAAAATTAGGTTGTACCAATGAAATCTCAAGAATTGTGCTCATTTTAAATAAGTAGCTTGAACAATTTATAATTTATAATTTCAGATTGATTGGGATGATTCTGTAGGGGAGTGCATGAAATTCAGTAAACAATCTACAAACATAGATCAATTTAATAAAAAAAAAGATACAACGGGTGGCACAGTGGGTAGCCACCCTGTCAACAAGAAGGTCGCTGATTCGAGCTCCGGCTGGGTCCTGGGTCCCCGGTGTCCTGGTCAAAGTCCCTCAATCAGCCTTTATAATTCTGGCCTCCCAATCATCCCCATCCACCGAATCGGCTCTATTACTGTCTCTCCACCAATAGCTGGTGTGTGGTGAGCGGACTGGCGCCGTTGTCCTGTGGCTGCCCCACCACAATTTTTTTATTATAATGTGTTCAAAAGTGTCATTTAGGGGGCGTGTACACAGCTCGCTGTTTTAGGGGTGTGATGCTTTACATGACAATTAGTTTCGCCTTCCCGCCTAACATAAAAAAGAGTGGGGGAGCTCTTGGCTCCGCCCCCTTGTTTGCAGCAGACAAGCTGACAGAGAGAAGCAGCATAAGTGAGAGGATCAGTATTCACCCATACATGTACAATTAAGACACAGACCAAGCAGAGAGTACAAGTGCCGAGCGGCACTTCTGGTGTGCGACCTGCAGGCAAGTTCATTATTTTATTTCCAAAGGAGGGACGTGCACGTGAGGCAACGCGCTTGCACTTTTCCAGCTGCACCTAGTTAAGATCACAGGGAGCTTCTGTGATTGCGAGAAATAAAAACGGCTGAAGTTTAAGTTAGATGCAATGAAAAGTACACATGTTTGCAAACCTACCTAAAGTTAAAAACAATAATTCCGATTAGAGCGATCATGTGGAGAATGTTGATCTTGTGTTGAGCCTAATGAGCCTTACATCTAAAAATAGAGCAAGGGTGTTCCTTTAGTTACATGGCTTTGACTCTCACGCTGAAAATGGCGGACGTGAAACAACAAACTGAGGATATGGTGATGCGCCTGTCTATCAATATTAGTGAGCGGGGGGACTGCACTCCTACGTCAAGTTGCGGTCGGTCTGAAAACCACTCCAACTGGTCCACAGTTATTATGTTGTTAAATTGAAAAAAAAGGACTGTGTGTGTTATCACCCCAATATGACGGTCTATACACTATACCTACACACATGTCCAACCCAGGCTCATTGTGGAAACGTAGTCCCGCGGACATTTCTGGAGACCGCGGAATACGTCCCGGCAGGTACGTACGGCTGCAGTTTTTGTTTTCGCAAATCCGCGAGAGGCCGCTGTTGTGCGCTTTTTCGCACCTCAGACGTCTCTCACAAGCGCGGTTCGCGCCCACGCTGTTCTCGCGTAAACCTGCCGGAGGCCGCTGTCCAACTGACCGGATGATTGACTGCGCGACCGGCCAATCAGCCGACTCGCCCTCCTCCTTCCCTGAACCCAACCAATTTTACCGCTCGACCCGTCCGCCCGCTCGCTTCCCTAAAAAGACGTCCAAAAAAATAAAAGCCCTGATTTTTTTTATTCCACCGCGTTTTCGGATTTCGCCGTGTTCTCACCCTGTCACGAAACTCGTTCGCTTAATTTTTGGGATTCTGTTTTTGTCTTACCTGATTGCTGGAACTGCTCTTCCCCGGACTCGAAACCGGTCACCGTGGTCGACTCCTCTCTGCATCTCGAGACTGCCGACGTACACGGTGAGCTGAGTGGACAAACAAGTTTCAGCGGGGAAGCCCTCCACAAGGAGGTAAGGCAAGCGCGAAAGGCAACAGCATCACACCGCCCCGCAGCGTTCGCTTGAAAAAAATATACGCTGCCGTATGTACCCAGAAACGTATCCAGAAACATCCGCGGGACTACGTTTTCAGAATGAGCTTGGGTTGCACATGTCTGTCAAAACAGCTTGAAAAGTAGATTTTTCACCTGAGGTGCCCTTTAACAACCAGATTGATGCTTAATTCTATTTAACTGATTATATTTGAATTACATTACAACATCGATGCTGTAAAAGAAACCTTGTGATATTAAAAATAGTCACACAAAGCTTTCACTGGAAGTTCATCATTGGCTGAAAAACACTAGCTGTGCGTATAGTCCATTAGACATACAATCACCACAGCAATACCCGAGCTAGGAGTCGAGTGCTAAACGCTAACAGAATTAGATGGTAGTTTATGGTGATCACCTTTTAATGCTCCTTCAGTTTGGCCAATTGGCCTTTTGTAAGATGCCAGGCTGAATTAAATCTCAAGCAGTGTTTTCAGGTGAAGGGGTGGCTGATCTTTAAAAAGCAAGACAGAGATGTTCTGTGATGTACAATTATTAGCCTAGCTGCCCTTTAGAAAGTTCACACAGTTCAGTAGCTGAAACACAAACAGCTGGAGGGGCTGCAGACATCTGCTGTTCTGTCATTAAAGAGCCCGATGCTTCACTGCTCTTTCTCTTCTTACTTTTACACACATCTCTTATGTCGGTAGTTGACAAACAGACAAATAAAACTAAAACACAATATATTTATATATGCATGTAGTTAGAAGTCTGATGTTTGGGAAAGTCATTTGTAGGGGCACTAACTTTATCAGTTCTTTGACTGTTTTGGTTTATTGTTGTTGTTTTTGTATATTTAGGCTTTGTATTTTTCCTGAACTGTACCTTAAATACTATGGTGTGTAATATTAAAGTAGTATAGTAGTGTAAACTATAGCAGAAATGGTAACACTTTACAATAAAGTTCATTAGTTAATGCATTTACAAACATGAACTAATCATGAACAACACTTGTACAGCATTTATTAATCATAATTGAACATTTACTGGGCGAGGCAGTGGAGCAGTAGGTAGTGCTGTTGGCTTACAGCAAGAAGGTCACTGGGTCGAGGGTTCGAGCCTCGGCTCAGTTGGCGTTTCTGTGTGGAGTTTGCATGTTCTCCCTCCCTTCGCGTGGGTTTCCTCCGGGTGCTCCGGTTTCCCCAACAGTCCAAAGACATGCGGTACAGGTGAATTGGGTAGACTAAATTGTCCGTAGTGTATGAGTGTGTATGAATGTGTGTGTGTGGATGTTTCCCAGAGATGAGTTGCGGCTGGAAGGGCATTCACTGCATAAAAACTTGCTGGATAAGTTGGCGGTTCGTTCCGCCGGATTAATAAAGGGACTAAGCCGACAAGAAAATGAATGAATGAATGAACATTTACTAATGCATTATTATCATCCATGCTTTTTAACATTATTTAATGCACTGTGAGTTAACATGAACACACAATGAACAACTGTATTTTCATTAACTAATGTTAAGTAGCATGAACAAATTCTGCAGTAAATGTATTGTTCATGGTTTGTTCATGTTAGTAAATGCATTAAGTAACATTAACTAATGAACCTTATTGTAAAGTGTGACCGCAGAAATTAAGAACAAAAAAACTCTGAGGCTGTTTCTCAATTCCAAGAACGCAGAGAACGGATTTGCATTCTTGTAAAGAAGGTCTTGCCAGGTCACAACGGAAAAACGAACTCGGGAGACCACGAGAACATAGAATGCGTCCTGTGAGAAATGAGATGCTGTGTTCTTCCTGATGGTCACATGACCCTCTATAAGAGATTTATAAAGTATAAATAGTCCTCACTTTAGATTAGGTCATAAAACTGGATGAAGTTGAGTTAATAAAGCATTTAATAACATACAACTTATTTATTAGTATATGCCTGAATAAAAAGATATATAAATGTTCATTTGAATAGTTTATTAATCATTTACTGACTCATTCTGAATGATCTTAAAACAAACTCTAACTATGCTATAATAACTGGTTTGTAAATAATAAATCATTAACAAATTATGAAAGTAGAATTAAGCGCATTATAAATGTGGTTATAAGTCAAGAATTTGTAGCTGCACTTATAAACTGCTTAATAGCGTTTATTAATGTAGAGTTAATGTTTAATTGATAATTAATTCACTATTTGATAATTCATATAAATTAAATTATTTATAGTGTGTAGTTATTATAAAGTGTTTCCAAAATCTATTTACTGCATTTTAAATGAGAAGTACTAGTTATATTAATTTTTCTCATGTGTGACACTGAAAATGTCACACAGGTTTATAAAAAAACACAGATATATCGACTTGGACAAAATTGTTGATCAATTAAAAAACCCAGTGGTCAATTAAATAACTTAGAAAAAGAAAATCAATAAATTTATGAAAATCAAATATTGCTTTTGAATTTTCGAGTTGTGGTTCAACAGAAGAATTAAAAAGCAAACTAATGAAGCGGCCTGGACAAATATAGAGTTCCTACACTTGTAGTCAAGCAAGAGCAGTAAATGAGTCTGTAGCTCATATAGCTGATGTTTTGACTTGTGCTGGTCTTGGTTATTAAAGACCCTCATTTGAAGCATTGTTTTCCTTGAGCTGAGATTCATATTGACCTGAAGCACCAGTTGTTTATTTTGTGTCTCCTATATTGATTAAAGTTCTCCAGCTCCATCCATTAACGATTCATCATTTATACTGTCCTCCCTTGCATTAATCCAGCCTGTTTTCTTTTGTTTGTTAATATTTCATGCATTGGCCCAAACTGACACATACTAATGGCATCGTGACATGATGTATTGCACGTTAAATCTCGTCTAATCTGATTGGCAGAAACGGTGCGGGCGATGACCCATGTGATCAATCAGGGAATGGCGATGTACTGGGGAACGTCACGCTGGAGTCCGATGGAAATCATGGTGAGTCACAGAAGTGTGCATCCCTGTAATCAGCATCTCCAGCGGCTGCTTTTGTTCTTGAAGGACTTTTCAAGAACTGTTTAATCACTTGATGAAGCTAAAGATGCGTGTGTTTAAATAGGTGCTGTCAGCGAGGCGGTCTAACCTTGTATACTGGGCGGACCTGAAACCTACAACAGCAGTGCGCTGCTCTGAGTCAGACAAACACTTTCACACTGAGAGAATGTTAAATGACGGACTGTTGTTTGTGTTCAGTTACACCTCGTCAGTCACAACTCTTTTGTGAAAGTTATGCTTACTGAGACTGTCGAATTCGCTTTTCAGCTCTTCTGCATACATTTCAGTATACAGTATAAGATTTTATTTTTAAAGAGCTCCTATTGTGGGTTTTTGAAAATGAGCTTCCATGTAGTGTGTAACACAGCTCTAAGTGAAGTGAAATATCCAGCTTAAATCTGAAAGTGGACAGTTTTTGAAACTATTAATTCATCTAATAAAGAGTCGACTCATAGTGGTTAGATTGAATCGTCTTCATAACGAGTCTTTAGCCGTTTCGGCTTGACGTAGTTATGAAACATAAGCCCCGCCCAGTTGTTGCGCGCACAAACCCGGGAAAATTAAAACCTGAAGCCCCGCCCACTAACACAGCAGCAAAGACAAACAGATCCTGAAGTCATCATGAGTCATGAAGACGCTGTGCTTACCTGGATATTATTGGAAGTGTGAGGGGAAAGGAGTGCTTCAGCAATCTACACGCTGACAATGGGCGATTCATTCGTTTGTTAAAGGAAAGATCAGAAAAGACTGATGTATGAGACCTGTGGGAATGAACAGACAATACACCAGGGGTGCGTGCAAAATAAGGCCAGTTTATTAGGCACAAGGGCAGCCTGCTGCAGCTGAGGAGGAGCGCTGGTGAACGTTACAACCCCCTGGCTGGGGATGTGATCTTTGGGTAAAGCAGAGTATGGGGAAGCCCTGAGAACATATAACACTTCACACGAGGTGCCACAGCAATAACTGCAAATAGAAATAATCTACAGCTGAGAAGGGAGAAAAGCTCCAAAATGCAAGATAATTAATGAAATCTGACCTGGCCCACGACACATTTCATAAGTGTGAGTGAATGGCTGTCTCCTTGTTTTCTCTAGCCTGCAAATGATGTATTTAATTGTGTTTTGTTACTTGTAACCGCTTGCACTGTATCTGGTTAACTCTTCATATTCTCATATCGCGTCTAAAGCCACGTTAAACGCGCCGCGCAACGCTTTGTTTACAGATTTAAATTCGTTTGTGAGCTTGTGTCTCACTGCCGTTTGTCGTTGATATGGCCACCGTCAGCTGTTCCTACACACGTGCAGCGGTCAAGGTTCAGAATACTTCAGCTTTTGCTGCTGTGTGGATTAATTCTGAATGTGTGTCATGGTTAAGAATAGAGCAATATGCTGGTGTTTGACTACACTGCTTTTGGTGGTAAGGTGTCTGAATAACACTGTTGAGTAACTTTACTATGAAGTGTGTTTCGGGCATCTGCTGCGATCGGATCCGATACCAATGTTGGGGAGCCGCGGGCTTGACAAACCACACTGGGCATTTGTCTCACGCTGAACACTGTCGACCAATCACAACAGGCTGTCATAGGTCCAATCAGCGCAGATTTGCTTTGCGCTAAGGAGGGGTTTGGGAACAAATGAATCGCTGAACGATTCGCTGGGATAATTAGCTAAAAATAAATGCAGATTATAACACCATGAAAGTGTTTTTTGACCTTGCATGCAGATCAGTATGTTGTTGGAGATTTATATAACTGAAATATGACCCTTTTTCATGTATAATAGGGGCTCTTTAAATAAAGTTTTAGTCATCTTCATGCATTTGTGAAGTTTATTTATAAACTGATTTCGAGAGGATCATCTGCTTATGATTGACCACGGCTGGTCCCACATTAGCTATCAAATGATTAACAGTCAGATCAATCCAAACGTACATAAATAACCAGATTTTCTTACTTTAGTCATCTTCATCTTGAATAATCCCCCTTACTCCTCTGATTCTTTCCAAGATTAACCCAGGATTAAGGCGGCATGGTGGCTTAGTAGTTAGCACTTGCCTCACAGCAAGAAGGACGCTGGTTCAAACCCCGGCTCGACCAGTTAGTGTTTCTGCGTAGAGTTTGCTTGGTCTGACTGAATTAGGTTTGGGTCGATAGACAATGCCATCACTGACGTTTCATCTAGCATTTATGAAAAGATCTACGTCCACACTATACCGCTGAAAACGCACATCACCACACACACACACACACACACATACTCTGCGGTGTAAGCGCACGTCTGAGCTCCAACAGTCAGCAGTTGCTTTGAGCACAAAACCTCAGAGAGCAGTGCACGTCTAACAATTTATCAAGGATGTACCACTGGATGGCGTTTCACTGTAGTTGTTAGACGTGATGTTTAATTAATCTTGTCTTTATCTAACCACTCTTCGGTCTTCTGAATCTGTCAGTGTCACAGCATAGTTTTCCTCTAACTCTATTATTTTGTCCATGTGTTGTAGGAAGCATATTCAGTGGCCCGACAGTTCAACCAGATCCCACCAATCTGTGAGCAGTCGGAGTATCACATGTTCCAGAGAGAGAAAGTGGAGGTGCAGCTCCCTGAGCTCTTCCATAAGATCGGTGAGCGTCCAGTCCACCAAAACCCTCACCAGACCTCAACAAACATTTTGCTTCAACTCAAGCTGTTTGTATTACTATAGGGCATTATAGGGTAACTTATTAGGGCAATGGGTTACAGTTACAATATTTTTGCCTATTCGAAATACGAAAATAGCCAAGAAATATCGCTCTGCAAAATTGCCTGGCTACATTGCTCAAAAAGTTGAAAAAAGTAAATCAGTTGCAAAAAGTAAAATCAGCATTATTCTCCAACCCGGGCTCATTGTGGAAACGTAGCCCCGCGGACATTTCTGCAGACCGCGATTTACGTCCCGGGAGGTACGTTTTCGAGCGGTTTTTGTTTTCGCGGATCCACGAGAGGTTGCTGTGCGCGCTTTTTCGCTGCTCGGGCGCCTCTCGGGAGCGCGCGCCGTTCGCGTCCACGCCGTTCTCGCGCGAAAAGCCGCCGGATCGGCCGACCCGGCCGACCCGGCCGCCCTCCTCTTCCTCCTCCTCGAGCGACGGTTCGCAAAAGCCGTCCAGAAAAAAAAAAAGCAAAAACCTTTTTTCGATTTCGACCGTGTTTTCGGATCCCGCCACGTTCTCGCCCTTATTTTTCAGGTTCCGTTTTTCGTCTTACCTGATTTCCGGAACCGCTGTTCCCCGGACTCGATCCCGGTCGCCGCCCTGCAGCGTTCGCTCGAAAAAAACTTTATGCAGTCTTACATACCTCCGGCCACGTAAATCGCGGTCTCCAGAAACGTCCGCGGGGCTACATTTCCAGAATGAGCTTGGGTTGTTATTCTCTGGTGCTGCATGAATGTGATTGGCTAGTGTCTGCACTTGAATTTTCATAAAGTGGTCTGATTGGCCTGCTTTGACTCTTAAAAAGTTTTTCAGAAACCAATGCAATTGACAAACCAAGAGTTTCACAATATTGAAAGTGAATGAGAACAGTAGACGCTGATGCTCCGTGTAATGGGCGGTGGGGGGGTTACACCAGAATGAGAGAATAGTTTCTATATCCAAATGGCCTACAAAATAGCAACTTTTCATTTTTCATTGGTTCTAGTATGTGATGCAACTACAGAAGCTTTAAGCTTTAAATAGAGCAATTATCGACCCTTTTCTGTAATTTTTTGGAGACGCTAATGGTCTAATCTGATTCAATGAATTATGCTAAGCCAAGCTAAAACTGCTCCCGCCAGACCCAGAGATCAGCTGAATATATATTGAAATCATTCCTCGCCTCCTGTTCAAAGCCATGCCTCCTAAAACACGAGCGTGCGCATTAAAGATGACAGAGACCCACTAGATCATGTCATTCAGCAGCTAGAAAACTTTATAGTACCTTATAATGCTACAATTCTGGACGAAAAACTGTTTAAAATCTAGCACAGTTGAGTAGTTAGCCAGCAAAACTTGTCATAATGTGCAATATTTCATGCGTGCAAGGATCGCTGGACTCATGCGCTTTGTCCTTAAGTGACTACTGTATGCTTAGTGCTTGGTAATTTTCCTTTACTATAAATTACTATAGGATTTTAAATTTAACGCCTGGTTTTATTGAATTTTTGCTGTTATATACTATAATTTGTTTTTGTTTATTACAGCATATTATTTGCAGTAAATAACTGAACTGAACTATTCTGCCTCATATGTTTCTGACAGTTTTATCAATTACTAAGATATGATTGACTTGGATTTAAGTTGTTTCTATTAAAAAAAAAAAAAAGATGATTGCAAAAATAGATTAGATGTAGCAAAGCTTGTAGCTTTTACTGTAGTTAAGCTACATTTTAAGTAGAGTAGCTAATAACTAGGTCCACACGGAATCTGCGCTCGCAGAAGTCTGCAGATTTTGACCCATTATTAATTCTGTCTATTTACTTGTGTAAATGTGAGTAAATTTAGATTTATTTAGTTTTTAAAGTAATTTCATTGATATTATTGATTAATATAAACATATTCACATGATTTATTTAAAATACAGTTTGTAAAGTAATATTTTCTGTCTTTTAATAGAGATATTATCATTTAAAGGGACTAAGTTAAAACGAAAATGAATGAATAAATTAATGAATTATCATTCATATATTAAGGTTTTAGTTATGATACTCCTAAAACCATTCTACCATTCCACAACAAAATTCTGCGCAGAAATAGCAAAAAATGTCAGCTGATTCCGTCTGGCCCTACTAATAACTTAATAATAATAATAAACTCACTGCATTTTTCAAGTAGCTTGCCCAACACTGCATACTTCCATGCTATTTCAGAGCGAATATTCAGAGTAGCGGTAAACAATATAGGGAGCGCGTCAGAAATTAAAAAATGAACCAATGAGAATATAGAAACAACTTCAGCTCAGTAAAGCAGGCTAGGCGGAATAGCGCTATTTACTAATGTTTTTTTTTTTTGTGAAACTAAATAAAAATCTACATTATCGATGCTGTAAAAGGACCTTATGAAACTAAAAATAATCGCATCAATCTATCGCTGGAAGATTTCAGTGGCTGAACAACACTTCTGTGCATATAACCCATTCATAACAACACACTCTACATCAGCTTTGCGGGACTAAAAGAGTTTTAAACCAGAACATCACCTGTCTAAAAGAAATACTTCACGCTTCAGATGTACAAATCTACTTTTGTTTACACAGTTTGGGCTACTTATTAGGATTATGGGAATTATTGGCCCGACAATATTTAATTGGATGAACGTTTTTAAGTTTTATACCTCACCCAGAATATAAAAACACATATAAACACATTTAGATCATTTACTTTAATCAGTACTATTGGAAAGTGAAGAGACTTTCAACCAGCAAAACAACAAATCTTTCTGAAGACAATCACCTACTGCACCTTTAGCTTTAACAGAAATCTAAAATGAGCCTATTTTCAAATAAAAGTGTAGTGTTTCTTTAAATTGAACGTTTTCGTACATGTTTTTTCAGGTGTGGGTGCGATGACATGGTCCCCGCTGGCCTGTGGGATAATCTCAGGGAAATATGACAGCGGGGTGCCGCCGTACTCACGTGCCTCACTAAAGGTACTACACATCCCATGAGCCTCTCTGTGTCCTTCTCCTTCCTGGTCCTCTGGAAACATCATATGTAGTTCCTCTGTGTTTGCTGTTCTAATGTGTTTGTGTTCGTGTCTTCCAGGTTCAGTAGTTGGGTGTTTTCCTGTAGATGTGTTTGTTGTTGATGGCATGAATCCACACGTCTGATCTTCTACATTGATTTCTTTCTGTGATTGAGTTTTGCTGGTAACTCTGAGGAGGATTGGCACTTGTTTTTATCTGTGTTTCATCTCCTTCAAGCACACTAAGCCACACGCGCTCAAGTGCACGCTAAAAGCAACCGTCTGATAGGAATTTCTTTGATATGTTTGTATTTAGTTTATTTTACAAAAGTATCTTTATTCTGAAAAGGAAAATAATAGGTTTTATTAATTTTTGGAAATTGGTTCAGTAGCTCAGTCAGTAATTTGAAGCGATTCTTGTTTATTTATTTTTGTGAATATTTTTGTTCAGGGGTCCGTTCTTCGTACGTGGATTACTCAGTTAGCTGGATTTGGATATTGACGATTTGACACGATCCAGGATCGTTTCGTTCTTCAAAGCTGATCCGAGAGTTGTTGTCATAGCAACAGTTCTGCTAGCTTAAACCTGATCGGGAGCAGGTTCAATTTATATAAATTATAAACAAATTATTATAAAGATTAGATCGGCTCAGTTCAAGCAAATATAATACAGAAAGTATGTTCCGAATTCTGATATTTTCTTATAGTAGTAGTTATATACACTTGGGAAAATAGTAAATATATTTTAACTATATATATAAAGTTATAGTTAATAATATAATAAATAAAGTTATATATATTAATAAAACTTGTGCAATCTGCACTCTTGAAATGAATGTACAAAGACTGCCACCTGGTGGTGCACAGAGAAAACTTATTAGATCGCTTAGTACAAATTGTATAATAGAAATGCACAATATGTGACTTTTTTAAAAGCAATAACACATTTATGCAGTCATGAACATGTTTTGATAGTTAATATGCCGGTGATTTGATGCTTCAAAAAAGTTGCAGACGCTTTTACCAATATCAAAATGCTTTTGTAAACAACCAGTTATTCTATACACCGATTAAAAAATGGCTACTATTATAAAGAAAATCTTTTCTAAATGTGGACTAAATACATTGATTTGCATTGAAATACATGATGAATACTCTTGACACATGAAAGTGTAAAGCCTGCAGCTCACAACAAATGTGGAAGGTTATTGCGTGTCATATTTATCAAACCGTTTACTGCTAATTTGATATAATTTTGCTCACATGGATAATTGAATATTAATCAGATGATGTCATTACGCTGCTGTGCCGTCAGCCAATCGTTGCATTGCTGATCATGATTTCGAGGATCGATAGATCTGTCCTTCACAACACACGCAGCGAACTCAGATCAGTTTATCCAGACATTCTAATCTGATTCGCGAACTCGTTTGAAGAACCAAATTAGCGAGAGATCAGTTATCAAGATTAAAAGATCCAGGATCTGCCAAATCATCTTAAATAATTTAAGCGAGGTACGAAGAACGGACCCCATATTTAATTTTCACACTAATCATACACTCTGAAGTGCACACTAAAATAGCAGTTCAGTAAAATATTTGTTAAGTGATTAAGCTTTTTTTAATCATGTAGTGATTTTAGTACTTCTTCTATAACAAAAGTGATATGGTTTTATTTATGTTTTAATGTTCAGTCAGTAATTTAAAGCAATTTCATTTTGAAAAAATATTTCTGTTTAGCTTTAATGTTTAACCTCAAATGTGCACTAAAAGCACCCATCTGCTAGTGATTTTGGAATTTGAAAATGTTTGTAATTAGCTATATTTTTATTTTTTGCTGGAACAGCTATATTATTATTTAAATATGTACAGGCAGTAATTTCAAGCAATTGTATTTTCTTAATATGTTTGCTTACCTTTAATGTTCAATATTTTTCAATAATTGCTTTATTGGCATGTGTTCAAATGTATTGCCAAAGCATTTATGAAGTTTACATTAAAGATAATAGAACATAGATGTAGAATAAAAACACAGTAAACACAGTACATAGTAGTAGTGGTTAAAAAAAGAAAAAGAAAAGAAATATGCTTATAACAATTAAATAAAAATAGAAATAATATATCACATTATTCAATATATCATATTAATATTCAAAATATTATATTATTCATATGTATCGTGCATCATATTATTCATATCTATCAATACAAATGATAATAGATCAGAATACACTACATTTAACAATCAACTATTACTCTGTCTGTCTGTCTCTGTCTCTCTCTGTGTCTCTCTCTGTGTCTCTCTCTCTCTCTCTCTCTCTCTCTCTCTTTATATTTAAATATATTTATACTTAAAACACGTAATGTAAATACTATATACATACAGTTGAAGTCAGAATGTTTACCCCCTAATAATTATTTTTCTTTTTTAAATATTTCCCAAATTTTTACAGTATGTCTGATAAGAGTTTTTCTTCTAGAGAAAGTCTTATTTGTTTTATTTAGGCTAGAATGAAAGTAGTTTTTACTTTTTAAGCCATTTTAAGGTCAAAATTTACTAGCCTCTTTAAGCTATATATTTTTTCCCAATGGTGTACAAAACAAACCATACAATAACTTGCCTAATCACCTGCCTAGTTAACCTAAATATCCTAGTTAAGCCTTTAAATGTCACTTTAATCAGTATAGAAGTGTCTTGAAGAAAATCAAAATATAATTTACTGTCATCATGGCAAAGATAAAATAAATCAGTTATTAGAGATGAGTTATTAAAACTATCATGTTTATAAATGTGCTTAAATCTTCTTTCCGTTAAACAGAAAATGAGAGAAAAAATAAACAGGTTGTCTAATAAATTAAGGGGGGGGGGGGGGGGGGCTAATAATTCTGACTTCAACTGTATATACACATTTTTTATCATTGTATTTACATTTCATGTTTTCAAAATTTGAGTAACAGAACTAATACAGTTCTAAAGGAAATGTTTCTAATTTTTATTTTAATATATTCTAATTTATTGTTTTTATTTTTCTATATATTTTATGTGTCTAGTTAGTAATTTTCTCCATTTTTCTGTTTAACTTTAATTTTAACACTAAATCACACACTTACAAGTGCATACTGAAACCACCCGCCACTAAATAATGTTTAGTATTTTAACATTAAAAAAAATCTTTAGCTTTTTTTATGTATTATTAATTTGAAAACATTCACATTCAATGAAACAGACGTGCTTCAATTCTAAAGACAATTCTGGTTTATTTACATTTTTTACATTTTAGTTTACTGGTATATTTTAAGTCAGTAATTTGAAGTGATTTTATTTTCTGATATTTCTGTTTAGCTTTAATTTTCTCACTAAATCACGCACTCACAAGTGCACACTGAAACCATCTGTCTCTAAGTAATGTTTACTGTTTTTACTTAAATACTAAACTATTTAGCTTTTATAAGTATTCAATTCTTTCTTATTTCTCTGGCACATTTACAATGTATATTGTGTCAAATCAGCTTCACATAGAGGCTCTAGTAGACTGAAACTGCTTCAGTCCAGTTTTCAGAGATGAAGTTCAGTTCAGTGTGGTTTAATTTCCACTGCTCAAAGTCCAAACACTGAAGAGCAAATCCATCGGTGCGCAGCTCCACAAGTATTATATACATCTGCTGAAACAGAAATACTTCAACTCTGGGTTATTTAAAAGTTTTGATCTTACTTTAATATTATATTTTCCATTTTATTTTCCTAATGCTTACGTTTGACTTTATTTTTGCACTAAATCACACACTAACAAGTGCACAATCAAAACCACTCGTCTGTTAGTCATTCTTAGTATTTTTAATATTTGTGTTCAGCTTTTTTTATTCATAATTACTAACAATCTGCTGAAACAGAAGTACTTAAATTCTACAGAAAATTCTGGCTTATTTAGACTTTTTAAAAATGTACTTTAATATTATAATTGCAGTAGCAATTTTATTTTCTAATATTTGTGTTTAACTTTAATTTCCTCACTAAATCCTACACTGTGAAGTGCACACTAAACACCCCCGTCTCTCCGAGCTGTGCTGTACTGTACTGTATGTTGGCGTAGTGGCATGTTCTTGGCTCATTGGTGTTGTTGTGACCCATCATCTTCCTCCTGTAGTCTTGTGTCACGCTGTTGATTGTTTCTGATTTCTGTTACCTCTGTGTAACGTACATGTGGATTGACACTTGACTATATCTGAAGCGTCTGCTGGTCTGAACAGTGACGGGTCTGTTGCATTCAGAGACCTGTGAGTGTTCAGATCACTAGACCACTATGGTCCTTTTCCACTGTTAATTCATCTATTTGACTAATGATGGACCTGAAGCTGGATTACATTGGTCCTGGTTTAGCACACACACACACAAACATCAAGTGTTACTACTACCTGAAATTGGGTTTTACTTTAAAGTCAACATGTAGTCAGAATTGAATTGATTTACTCTTTCATAACTTGTTTAGGTCATGAACTATTTGGTTAATTACGTTGCTGTTTAGGAAATTATATATATATATTTATTTTATTAATATTTAGAATTAATATTTTTATTTATATTTATTTTATTTGACATTATATTTTTACTAGTGTTGATTTTTCTTGTGTTTTTAGCTTTATTTATATTTCATTTTCAGTCGTTTAGTACTTCAGCTGAAACTAATTTCTTTACTATTAATTATATAATTTATTATCATATTTATTTTTTATTTTATTATTATATTTTCAGTTTTAATTCAATTTTACTAAGTTTCTGTCATATTAAGCAAATTTGTGTAATAATATTTAAATATTTTACATTGTTTCAGTCATTTTTGTGCTTCAACTTTAACAAATTATGCTTGTTGTTTTATTATATTTATGTACTTTTATTTCATTTATTTATATTCAGGGGTGCGTTTCCGAAACCATCATTGGCCAAAAAAGGTCACAAGTTCAGTCCTTA